CCACTTCGAATGCGTACTCCAGTCCTAGTATCGTATTAGCCAGCTATGGCAATGACGGGTGAGTAAGACTGATGACAAAGAGATACAAATAATATAGAGAGGGCATTGTTGACACTTCACTTGACATTTTTCACATGATCCTCTCTATCAATAACTATTAATAGATCCTTACATGTTAATATAATTAGTTGTATTTATATAAATTGCTAATATCGTCACTAAATTATATTCAAATGTTTATTTTGTGGCACTGTTTAATTTGTTTTATAACATGGAGCTTGTTATAATTTTTAACATTTTTATATCATGTAAATACCAGGATATGAGGTGGTTTATTAAATTTGGTAACCTAACATACTTTTCAAAGAAGTTACCAGTGAAAAAATATTGTTCACTTTGTCTAGTCTGTATATTTCTAAAATGTCTTTGACTGATGACGTCATAGCTTGTACAGTGTATGAAAAATGTTGTTACTGTTTAATTATTTAAAAAATTGATTTTGATATTTACTTGATTGCATTAATTTTACAGATCTCGAAAAATCTTGGATGACTTCCGAGAAGCGTATGGATGGCTATCACAGAATACCGCAGAAGATGCAAGAATTATGTCATGGTGGGATTATGGATATCAGGTAAGATTTTTTTACATCAAATTGTAGAACTATATCATCAAATTCTATACTAGCTGTTGCTCACGACTTTGTCGACGTGAAATTTACTCGGCGAAAACGTAGCTTTATAATAGTGAAAGAATTTTTTAAATCCGCCCAGTAGTTTTTGAGTTATTTTAATACATACAAAAATAATGTAAGCGTAAATTTTAAGTGATTATTCGAAGGAAAGATTATTACTGCTGAATATTCCCACTACACATGCATTGCCTACTGTGGGCGTCACCAGATTAAACAAATATATTTGTAACCACAAATTGTAATTAGCTTTAAGTTAGTATAAATGTAATTGTAATTGTTAAAGCTTATGTTTTTTTTAATTTTTATTCTAATTCTAATACAAATCTTTCCTCTTTATAATATTAGTATAGATACATTGAAATGTGGTATTGTGTATTTTTTTACAGATAGCAGGTATGGGTAACAGAACAACTTTAGTAGATAACAATACTTGGAACAACTCTCACATCGCGCTGGTGGGTAAGGCGATGGCGAGCAACGAGACCGCGGCGTACGACATCATGTCGATGCTGGACGTGGACTACGTGCTGGTCATCTTCGGAGGAG